CCTCTTTTTAGGAGCAGCTTGTCGTTTCTGTATATGTTGTAGCCGGTCACGTGGTATTTTTCTTTACGCGAGGACAGTGTTTCTTGTAACGCCAGTACGTGTATTTTGTCAGTGAGTAAGGCATGAATGACATTGTTCTTTTTACGTTTCCATCCGCACGTGTTGACCGTCGAAAAACTTCTGTGGTCAGGCCGGCCGCTTATATTCACCAGCGCAGTGAGTTGGCTCCGCCTACTCCCTCCACCGAGCAGCGGCCGCGCGCTCTCATTGATTCGCACGATCGACGCGCTGCTACTATACATACTGGTGGTGGTGGAGTACGGAAATCTTCAAAAGACACCCCCTGAAGGGAGGTAGTGTCGAATTCTTACCGACTAAAACGAGCGGGGAGATAACCCTGTGGACTATTCATCCCCGGGAAGATAATGGAAAAGCTGGGGATTGGGGATAGAGTTGAGATGGGAAATGGGTTAAGAGTGTGGGCAGAAGGGATAGTCGGGGAGGAAACCGAAGTAGGTGGTTTATCTCTGAAGTACTGGATGGACACTCGCGCTAAAAAGCTAGAGAACTAGAGAGCAAGAAGTGAGCGAGAGGGGGCGGCTCATTGTAGAAGGTGACAGTGCCTTCGGAAACGGTCGTTGGGTTTCGGTGCGAAGTTGGGGAGTGCCGAGATGGTGGGGTTGACGTGGCCTGACACTGTGGCCTGGAGATTTGCCGCGAATGTGATTGCAGCCTCAGGGAGAGAAGGTAAACCTCAAACAATACATCTTTTCCGATCATGGCACTTCCGAGCTTGATGGCCAAATTTTCAACAACGAAAACAAGCCTTTTTCGTCGCCAACAGATCTCTTTTCTCGTCTAACGACATTTTCTGTGCTTTGAAACAATCTAAGCCTTCATGGCATCCGTCACAAAAAATGCATTTTGCTGCTTCACAATTTACGAGATCCGCGGCCGTAGGTACTTTTAAATCAACAACTTTTTGTTTCGGTTTCGCACCACGTTCGTTATTGACAGAACATAAGCCAAAAGCTTCCGCGGCCAATGATATTCTTTGTTCGTTTTCAACTTCGTTCTTTAAGAAACGCATTAACCCTTCCAGTCGACCGTCGGTGCTCAATTCTTCAGATGACTCACGCCCTTTTGTAAACGTCGCCGATCTCTGCCAGATTCGTAATAGGCTTTCAGGTAAGCAAGATTCTATCAAAGGAAACAGCATTGCAGCGCATTTGTCGGAAGTAATGCCTAAAGTTTCAAGTGCCCGTAACTGTGTTTCTATTTGGTCGTATAAAACAGAAATATCAAATTTACCACGGGACATCGCGTTATTTAGGATGAGTTTCAAGAGTTCTCGGACGTACACCTCTATTTGCAAATCATCGCGCCCGAATCTAGAAACTAAAGCTTCAACAATTTTTCCGTAGTTTTCCTGAATCGCAGGAAAACTCTCGACTAATTGTCTGGCGCGACTGCCAGGTATCGTAACTTGAATCAAGTAAGAAATTTTGTCACTCGCGTCTATCTCTGAATCCTCGTGTACTTTCCTAAATTGCGCCCAGAACGGAAGCCAGTCTTTGATGTCCCCGCCAAACTTCTTCAATTCTATTGTAGGTAATTTGAATTTTCGCTTACCAATTACGGTGCTTCCACTTACTACACTGTTTGCGACGGATCTCTGCTCTGCATTACCATCATCAACTTCTAAAGATGAACCTGCCCCAACAGATTGTTTATCAAACTCCATACGTCGTAGTTTGATATCGATGAACCTCTTCCTGTAACCATCGATGGCATCCATTTCAGCCAGCAAGTCCAGTTCGCTAATTGTACCGTCTTCCAGCAAAAGACTGTAGATTTCATTATCCACTTCCTCCAAAGCTTCATTTTTGCGCTGCAACATTTCCCAAACAACACTTACACTTTGAGGATCAGCCTCTTCCGCCACAAGTAATTGTTCTAATTCATTCGCGCATCTTGTAAACCCGGCACGTAATACGCTGCGATTTTTCTTCTTTGTTTCCATGTTAAATAACCAATAAACTAACTTGACAAACCCGATCAAATCACCGCGCTCGTGTCGCACACTACCAGAACCTCAGATCCGAAGCGACGGTAAAAGTTTGTCACTGATAACTTTTCCTTTTTCAAATTAGAACACTACCGCCGTAAAATGTCCTGTCACGGTCGCCATAAATGTTGTGACCAGAAAATAAAACTACCCGTTTTACCCCGTTCACTGATTCGGACAACAGCCAGCAGGTACCAAAAGAAAACACCCGGAAAAGTTAGAATAATTATAATTTAAAAATAAGAAGAGTATAAGTTTACAGTACAAAAGCTTGACAAGGACTACTTGTGACCTACTTTCATTTTAAGCTTGCGAATTAAAAGAAAAAATAACATACTATTATTAAATGTTAACAATACCGATAGTGTTCAATGTATCACGTTACAAATACATAAACAACTCATTTCCTGCTACTAAAAAGGATAAACAAATGCAGAACTAGTCGCTCTCGACAAGAATACGTTTTATCATAAACAAAGAAACAAAATATTAATTCTTTATGTGTGTCTCCAACATTAAGCTAGACCTAACAGATCTATCTTATATTACATTTGAACAAAATATAAAGATTATATCTACACCTTCACGGAAAACTGAAAAAAGAATTACATTAACGTAGATATATTTGAAAAATGCTAATTAATGTTTTAAACGTGTTTTTTATGCAGAAACGTGCAATTTTAGTTATTTTTTCAAAATTACCTGGGTGTTACCTAGTTTGTTTATTTTTTGGAATTTACTCCTTAAGAATCGATTTATCGATTTTCATATATAAGGCTCCCGGCATGGAAAATTTATGAGGAGTGAAATTTGCACAAGCGTTAACTCAAAAGCGTTACGTTTTTCTACGCAACTTTTCTGCGCAACTTCACTTTTGTGTGGGTAAACTCGTATACAGCCAACGTGTATAGCATACGCAACAGCTGACGCGTGTATAATATATATATGTATATATAATTACATCCAAAAACCTCCATTATGTTTCAAGGCAGTAGAAAGTAAAAGTACTTCTAGAACATTCTAAGCTCTAGGGAAGACTTTATAACTTTTTAATACTTTTTAATTATTTCTAAATGATCTATTTTACTATTTAAACTGATCATTTTTTCAAAGCTTCACTTCATATTAGTCATAGTACTAGTGAGGTCGTAATTGTTAACGTCGCTATTATCTTTAATTGTATTCTTTTTGTGTTTTTTCAATAAATACTTTTTAAAAAGTTAATATCTCGACGTTTAAACTTAACTGGCGCTGCGAACAGGATACCCAGACGGTATCCTACGGAATCGGTATCTTTCAAGATCTCACTGGGTATCCAACGAACGCGTATCCTACTCCACTTGGAATCCTAGAAGAAAATCCATCAAGGACCATCTCTTCACTGTGGAAGCAAATCCATCGGAGATAGTACGCTTTTAATACCATCATCTACTAGGCATCCAGAAAATGCTATTGGTAATAGTATGGTAAGTCATTTTCCTTTCATCTTTTATCCTTTTATATTATAACATACTTGTGATCCTATTTGATTAAATTATTTTGTTATATTATTTAATGTCGATTAATTCTAGTAATTCCGACGGTTTGGTAAAAATATTAAAAGAAAACCTAAGTTAGTTAGATTTAACTGAAGATTCTTTTAATAAATTAACTACTTGTAATAGAAATAATTCAAATAGGGCAAATGTGACTAAGGTTACTCAATTAGAATTAAATATGGCTAAAGAAATGCTTCCTGAATACTCAAGAGGAGCGAAAAATCTAGCATACTTCATAAAACAAGTTGAAAACTATATCAGTTATTTTAAAAAACCTGAAGAAGGATGTTTATTTAATACTCTTTTGTTTGAGCAAGTTAAGGCAAAATTAAGTGGCGATGCAAGAGATGTGTTAATAACAAGTAGTTGTCAGAAGTGGTCTGAATTGAAAGATGCTCTCCTTCATCGCTTTGGAGATCCTCGATCAGAAGAACTGCTTTTAAATGATCTCACAACGTGTTATCAAAAGTTCTCAGAATCATTTGAGCAATACTACGAAAAAATAAAACGAAAATTACAAATACTTTTAGAACATATTAGTATTAGGACAGTCAATAGAGATATACTTATTAGTAAAGAAAACATGTATACAAGTCAGGCTTTAGCTACTTTTAAAGCAGGTATTTTAGAACCGTACTGTACTTATCTTTTAAATATTAATGTAGTATCTTTAGAACAAGCCTTGNTGTTCAGATCATATCAATATTTGAATTTAATAAACTATTATTATAGACGATAGTCAGGTAATCTGTTTGTATAGGCTTTCAGGATCACAACAGATGTTTGTATCACAGGAAATTAGGTTTTTCTAATAGCAAACTTTCCTGTCATTAAAATGAAATTACAATTGCTTTCTTCTACTTGAACACAGCAGGACATACGATTCAATACTCCCAAATTTACATTTTATTATGGTTCTATTGTCCTGCCTTATCTTTACCTATTTATGTCTTCGTGCAATAGATTCTTGTAAATTTGTAATCCCTTATGTACAGATACATATAATTACATCCAAAAACCTGCGTTTAAATGATCTCACAACGTGTTATCAAAAGTTCTCAGAATCATTTGAGCAATACTACGAAAAAATAAAACGAAAATTACAAATACTTTTAGAACATATTAGTATTAGGACAGTCAATAGAGATATACTTATTAGTAAAGAAAACATGTATGCAAGTCAGGCTTTAGCTACTTTTAAAGCAGGTATTTTAGAACCGTACTGTACTTATCTTTTAAATATTAATGTAGTATCTTTAGAACAAGCCTTGTACGAATGTAGGAAATATGATAACGAGTCACAGATTAACTTTATGAACTTTATGAGAAGCCGTTCAAAACAAATACCCAATCCCAAGAAACCTATCTCTTCCCAAACGCATACAAAACCAATACAAAATCCTAATATTAGACCCAATTTTTACCCTCAATTTAACCGTCCAATATTTCCAAATAACCAACCACAAACATCTAACTCTTTTCCTAGAGGACCCATAAACATTCAACCCCTTCCTTCAAAACCGCACTTCCCATCAAGTAACCAGGTATTCGGAAAAAAATCGTCCGAATATAAACCCACACCAATGTCTATTTCCACCAGAAACACATTTCCCAAACCCCAACAAAACTTCTTCCAATCACAATCTCGACCAACTTTCATTTCTGAAGAACTCCACAACTTAGAAGAATTAGATACCTCACACTACTACCAATCTTATCCCTCTGAAGAATCCACCCATGAAGGCTACTCAGAAAACTTAGAACACCCTGAAGAGGATAATCATGAAACAGAACAACAATCAAATTTAGGTCAGGTAGAATTCGAAAATTTTCAAATAGATGCCTCGAAACAATTACCATCGACATAAATTCGATCACAGGAAAGTCAAAATTACCTTTTATATCATTACCTAGTTTAGGATTAAAAATTTTAATAGATTCTGGAGCATCAAATAGCATTATAAATCCCGGCCCAGCATATAAGTATTTTAAACATTTTATTCTTCAAAAACCTTTTTCAGTTAAATCTCTTAACAAAATTATATATGATGATAAAAATGTTATTTACCCTCTGTTACACGAATTTGGCATCAAAGAAAAAATAAAATTTCATGTAGTCTCTTGGCATGACAACTTCGACGCCCTATTAGGTAGTCATGATTTTCAGAAATTGGGAGCAAAAATAGATTACCAGAACAACATTTTAGAAATAGGTAGCTATAGGATCCCATTTTTTAAGGAATTAAATCCACAAAATTTTAAACCTTTCAAATAAACAGCTAAAAACTACTTTTATATTCCTGTTAATATTTCTGAAGGCCCCGTTTTAATTCCAGAAACTAAAATCAGTAACTTTTGTATTCCTGAATCGATCGCTAATTCACATAATGGATTTTGTAAAATACCTTTACCAGACGACCGAGATATTGAAATTAATTTTCATCACCCTATAAATGTTAAACCCCTTGTAGACGTAGAAATTCAAAAACCGCAAGTTTCATCACCAATAGATTGAGACATTAAAAAAGTAATTAGTATAGATCATTTAAATATTGAAGAAAAACTGAAATAACAGCTATTTGTAATAAATATAAACATGTTTTCTTCAATGGAAATTCAGATTTATCTTTTACCAACGCAATCAAACATAGAATTAGGACTGTAGATGTCAATACAATTTATTGGAAATCGTATCGCTACCCCTACTATTTAAAGCAAGAAATACAAAATCAAATTCAAAAACTTTTAGGTAATAAAATTATCAGACCTTCGATTTCGCCCTTTAGCAGTCCAGTTTGGATCGTTCCAAAAAGGTTAGATTCTTTAGGTAAAAAAAAGTGGCGATTAGTCATTGACTATCGTAAGTTGAATTACAAGACCATAGGAGATAAACACCCTCTGCCTAGGATTGAAAAAATCCTTGAAATGCATGTATTTCACTACTCTCGATCTAGCTCAGGGATTCCACCAGATAGAGATGTCACCGGAAAGTATAGAGAAAACTGCTTTTCAGTTAACAATGGTCATTATGAGTATACTCGTATGCCATTTGACCTGAAAAATCCACCGGCCACTTTTCAAAGAGTTATGGATAATATACTGCGCGATTACTTACATAAATTCTGTTTTGTTTACATGGATGATGTAGTTATATTTTCAAAATATCTTCACGATCATTTGATTCATATCCGAAAAATTTTTGACAGATTTAAGGAGTTTAATTTAAAAGTTCAACTTGATAAATCAGAGTTTTTACGCAAAGAGATAGCTTTTCTTGGGCACGTTAACATCACCGAAGGAGTGAAACCAAATCCCGAAAAGATTAAAGCAGTACAAAACTACCCTTTAATAATAACAATGACGACAACATAGAAAATCCAACTTTTACACTTCCTATTTCAGAACAGCGTATTAATC